GCATATTTTCCAAGTTTTAAATTACGGAATTTACTCATTAAAGAAACTAGATGGAACTTGATTTCTCCAAGAAAAAGGTGATCCAGGGAAAATGATTTACAGCAGATGAAAGCGAGAAGAGTTGATAAAGGGACTCACCGAGTAGCGAGGCATCGCTACATCTCCAAAGGTCCCAACAAGCATCCGTTTCGACCTCTCTTCGTCGTCGATTCGATTTCTTTGATCGTTCCCTTTAATCGAACAAATTCTCGTATTTGAGGAAAAAATAAGCTTCTTCCATGCTCCTGTCGTCGAATATGATTTCCCACTGGCACTAATCGTCCCACGAGTTTCTCTCGTTTATTGGATCAAAGATCATTCATGATTTATCGACACTTTATTAACGTACCAATAACAGCGTCTTGAACTTGTTACGGCCACAATGTTAACAACATTCACGTCCAACCTATCGCGAAGAAACGGCCATAGGGTCAAACGCTGATAGCAGGCGGTTTTTATGACGTCCAATCAAATTATTTGGGCATTCATTGGCGTTCGTGTTTGGTAAACAGTTGTCAGAACTCGATTACATTGCCACGATTTCATTATTAAATATGTTGAGAAACGAACGATCTTCGAGAGCTGTGTGGAAAGCTTCAGGGCAGAACTAATCTGCTTTGGAAATTTTCTCTCTTACTTTATTTCCTATTTTCTTTTATTTTATTAGCAGATTTATTAATAGACAGATTTTATCTCATTGTAGTATTTACAACGTGTTGTAGGTTGGTTCATGGCTAACAGTGGATTCTGTGATATTCATGACGTAATGGAATTTTAGATTAAGTACAATTGGCTTCGAGGATATAGGGACGTTATTAGTTGTATTAATTAGGGATGGTTCTGATTGGTACCAAAATGGCACCGCTAATAATCAGGATTTTTTCCACTTTTTATAAGAATATTGTTTTACCTCGTTGAATATCACTCGCTATTGATTTATTAATATTAATTATTCTTTAATATTCGGAAAATTTGAGAAATTAATTTATAAGTTTATCAACGAATGAATCATCGTGAACTTCGTTGTAAATAGTATTACTAATTACTGTTATACTTTAACTTAATTCATTAACTATTATTTGCTAATAATTTAGTGGAATTTACTGATACTAAATTTTCTTCGATATTTAGAATACTTAAGAGAACCTTAATTTATGGTAGACTATAGTCAGCAATACTTAGCAATAAAAGAGCTCCTCTTATGGCATTGATTGCAAATTGTAATTTTGGAAATTAAACTTTGTATTTTTACACTCGACTGATTTTATAACCTTGCTGTATTACCAATTGTACAATTGTCGAGTTCTCGAGCTGATATGAGATACCCATTGTATATAAAATACTCTTTGTATTGGTGCAAATCAGAAGTTGCAAATTAATCGTTTTAGGGTAACTGTTTTGTAATTTGATTTAGTAATTAATTTTTAGGTTGATCGTTAGCTCAATGATGTTCGCCTTTCAGTATAATCGTGAATTTTAAGGTTGAGTTTGAGAAACGAATGATCGATCCATGTATCACTGCGTTTACTGTGTTCGCTGTGAAATCACGATGACAATTGATGATCGCTTTAGACTATGTCGTGAATATTAAAATTATCGTGTTGCGAGATAGCAACATGTATGATTACCATATATTGATTATCCAAGTATTACCTGCCCCTCATTATTTATGCATCGTTGGATACTTATTATTCATATATCGTATCTTACATACATCTATTTGCAAGGACTAAAGTTGATAGCAAAATTCATTTAATATTAAAACGTTGTTACTCATTCTTGAAATTGTATTGAATTTTATTTAAAAATGAATATTGTATCAGCATAAATTTGTTTATTTAATGAAATTTTTTAAAGTGTTTTCTGATTCTGAATTAATAAGATCTGTGAACAATAAAATTTCAGAAACGAATAAGATAAATATTTTGAGGAATTTATATTTTATTCAACTAAAATTCTACAGTATATTTTAATCATTTATTGATAACTATATCATGATTACGTAGATACGTAGACAATTATGAACAATTATTATCTTGAGGATACATTGGTCTTGAATGATAAGAAATATTTGATAATGTTAAAGAATATTTAAATAAAAAATCGAACAAATAAATTTTAGCTTCCTCGATAATATTACCTATATTAACATTATCGATTATAATATTATCAGTAATATTAATATATAAATATCTACTGCATACAACACAAATATAGTAGGAAATCGTAAACCAAAAGATCAATTAAATTTCCTGACATTTCCTACGAAACAACCAAGTCAGAGTCCTAAATTAACACTTTACACTCGAGAGGTGAGCTTCAATCACCATTTCACAAAATTTGCAAGATCGATATTAATTAAAATTAATTAAAATTGAATGTAATGTAACAGTATGCGAGGTATCGAAATCAAATAATTCTACAATTTTATTATTATACAATTCTTTATTTACTGCTGAAAAAAGTATCGTCAGTTTTTTAGTAGAGAATCTTTGAATTTCTACTCTTCTCTAGCGAAAAAATCGTCGAGTGCAAAGGGTTAATCCCCAAAAGAAGCTTGAAATATTCATCGATTCACGATTATAAAAATGAATCTTCTCAAATAGTAACTCCAATTACAGACAATACTAAAACTTCATCGTGCCAAAGTTTGCTTAACATAAATCAAAACTGTCAGCAAAATTTTGATAATTAAAACATCATATGATTCGATTACTTGAAATTCACTCAGAGATGTTTGCTATATTGATATTTAGTTATTCATTCGCTGCCATAATCAAAGACGCTTTCCTTCAAACCTATGACGGCATCTCATTAAAACTGACCAGTTGGACGCAACAAGAACCAGTCCTATCAAGACGCTCGCCTCGTGAAAATCGTAACACAGTTCCGATAACGTGCAATCTCCATTGAATTTTCGACAATAATCCAAGGAAATGTACGCGAAAATTGTTCCGAAATCTCAGGCTAAGTTTACGGATAATGTATCATCCGGTTCACCTTCCGATAAGGTAAGGAAAAATTCAGTAACACAAAAGTTCGCGGAAAGTGTGGACAGCGATGTCGAGAAAGAGATAATCGGAGGGGAAACAGTAATTAGAAATGACGCTAATTAATAGGAAGATAACGAGTAGCAAAGTTATTGCGGAAATATCCGATTTCATTTTTAAGTAATCTTTCTTACGAGATATGTCGTGTTCTTCAAACGCGATATGGAACAATATGGAGACACTCGTTTGCGAAAAATCAGCCATGATTGGATTATTCGATGTGTTTAATGACTTAAAAATTTCATTTTTCGACGATTGAGTACTTGAATTTGAATTTTAACACGATTAGGAATTATATAGATTCTTTATTGCAAACATTAATTGCTGAAATTGAAATTTTTATGTTAGTTTTACGATTTGCGTTTTTCTAGCATTTCTGAATTTTAGCACGATCATGAATGATATAGATTTTTTATTCTAAGCATTAATTGTTGAAATTGGAAGTTTTGTGTTAGTTGCATAAATTGCATTTTTGTAGTATTTTTATGGCATTGGATACCAATAATATTATATTTATTTATTAATCGCTGATATCGATTTTATTAATTTTATATATTATATAATTTTTAATAGATATGTACATATTTGTATCTGCGATGAGTTTTAATTATATTCAAGAATTATACTTCGCGATTTCTATTATTATTTTGTATTATTTATATATGGTAAAAAAATATAATATTTTCTTTTATAAATAACAAAATTATAATAATAATATTTGGTTCCAAATATACTTGGCTGTTTTATTGAATAACTTTAAATATAAAATATTCATTATAATTTTTCAAAATATTCATTACTTATTTCTCCAAAATTTTCTTAATTCTACAGAAGCCATATTTGAACTATTCCTCTAATCATACTCGATTTCCGTTAAATTTCACTTTATTTCAGTTTATTACAGAGCACGAATTACCAACTATCACCAACTATGAGGAACATTCAAATGAATCTAATTAATACAACATGTTATTACTCTGCTTGCAATAGCTGTATAGTTTCAACATTGACTTTATTGATACTTCATCGACTTCGTTGCAATCTCTGTTTACAGAGTGATAAAACTTGTAACTTTGTTTGCAATTATATTTAGCATGTGAATCATAAATCACCGCAGTAACCAACAATATGTTTATTTTTCGTTTCTCGCGAGAATTGAATAGCACTGTACAAGCATCCCAGAAAGAATTTCGTTTCGAATTACGTTTTGTACTTTTTCTATGGTGAATTCAGGAAACCTGTTTGCACGGGAAAGAAAGGGAAACACTCGTGTCCATATCCTCTCAAACACGACCTACATACATCCTGCAGAAATGTTTGTATACGTTACAGTATTATCAGTCCGTGAATGGCTGAGCATTTGAAACACCTGTGTTAAAATATTCAAAGAAAATATTTGAAATGCAAAAAGATTTACATGAGTCATAGAATGTTGTAAAATAGAAGATATTTTCAGTAAGATACTGATGTACACAAGGAGTATATAAAATATGTCATAAATATGTCATACGAATTATTTACAATTATCATTATCTTAAACTAAACTATAATAAATTGTAAACATTTATTTTCTATTAGTTGATATTTCGTTTTAACATCGACTTCCTACAAATATATGCGTTCGCATAAATAAAGGAATAAATTCACGAATTCTCTCAGCCAAAAAACCTTTTCATTTATGCAAATTTTTTAGCTCACCACGATATTAGTCAAAAATATTAATAGAATTAAATAATCAAATGAAAAATCAATAGAATTCTATATGGCTAGAATAGAATCGATAGATTTTAATCCTTTTATTTATGCAAATTCTTTAGGTCACCTATATTAGTCGACAATGTCTATCCGTAGGTTTATTATTATACTACGTTTCAACAAACTGTGAATCTTGTATCATTCCACTCATGATAATTGATCGAGAGTTGGGAAAACAAATCCATTCAGCGTGCAATTTCCATTTTCATTTACATATCAAGGCAGTGATGCAAATTTGCGTTATCTCGAAACAATTTCCATTCATTCTGTAACCATAGATAGCGATCACAAACAACAACTTAATAGTGATTAAACAATTTTACGATTCAATTAAATATCGATGAAGATTTATAAATATGAATAGTAGATTGCATGATATTAATAATAGAAATACATCAGTATTAAAATATAAGAAAATTAAAATATTAAAATTAATAATGTAGATTAAATTGTTTTCACTATATTAGCCTTATATCTAAACTTACCTTACTGACATTCATATGCTGTATTAATAATGTGGACAGAATGGAGCAACTATTTTTAACGAGAAACTTAAAGTATATTTGTGCCAGAAATATTAAAGTAATAAATCCGAAATAATATAGTATCGAAGTGACAAATTAATTCACTTTCTCTAGAACTTTCTTCTCTCTCTCTCTCACATACACACACACACACACACACACACACACACACTTTCTATCCTGTTTTCATTGAGGTGTTCACTCTTTGATAGATGACAATTGTTTTACTCTGGCACATTCTTCAAAATCATCATTCACAACTAGACGAAACTCGCACACATTATATTTACATCATAAATTACACAATTATAAACAAAGGAGTCCCACTCATCCAATAATACTCACACTCACAATCTCCCTCCTTGGTTTTATTTGACATTCTTTAATTTCTAATATATACGAAATCTTTTACATTTTCTAGTAAGGATGGCCTGTTCAATGGTTTCGTTAAACGATCCACTGCTATTCTTTCTTTCGATCACCTGGATCTCATAATCTCGAACATGCTCTCTAGCAAAGTTACACTTCCGATATAATAGTTTGGTTTCTCTTTCGAAGTTCTCTCCGTTCGCGAGTTTTACCGCATTTAGATTCTCGCTTCTTTATTGCCATTACAACACATCCCAATTTCGTTTAGCAAATCACAAGTCCACGCAACTTGTTTTAAGTCCTCTAATTCTAATTTAAGTCATTTAGTTCGTTTTCTATCGTGGACAGAGCCATCACTTTGTGCTTCCTACTCTTCCAGTGGGCGAGATCTCTATCCCAATAACCAATATGCCATTGATGACTTTGCATTACTTGTGCTATCCCATGAAGCATACGTATAACAAGTTATTCCTCTCTGCGAATTTCAATTTCCATACTGGTTTCGCAATTCATCGTCCCCTTAAAATAACGTAAAACACGTTTTATAAGACATTCAGAAAATTGTGACTAATGATTTAAAACAAATGAGGCATCCGGTTTTGTCGCCACGCTTAACTTGTCTAATAACTCTTGATATACTTCATCGTTGCAGACGGGACTCTCATCATTCATCTCTAATTTTCGGTTTACATTCATCAGGGTCTTCGCGCTATTACATTCACTCGTACCGCATACTTTCAATAAATTTGTTACATAATTCTCCTGGTTCACGAGTAATTTTTCATTCTCGTATTTAATTTCCCGCCAAGTAGTTGCTTAGCTTCGTTAAAAATTTTAAATCTACACGTTCTTTTAGTTTACTCGTATAACACACCTTAAATGCATCAGTACTACTCGCCACTGTAATATCATCGACATATACAGTACAGCAAATAAAGTTATTCCCTTGTTTACAATAAAATAAACACAGATCCAATGTATAATACACGTTTCAACACGTTGACTGTCATGATGGTCATCAATGATCGACGCTTGTCTCTTCTGTGGGGTCATGACGGTCACCAGTGTCTGGTGATACTAATTTTTTAAATTTTTATTGTAACAAATTTTTGAATATTTGAACAATGTAAATAAATAGAGAACAACACTTGCCAAGTGATCATTACGATCACAGTTGTAACATTTCGTCTTATTTACGCCTTCTCTTATTCTTTACACTAATTTGTTGTCTCTGATGGCCCTTTCTCTTATTTTCATCTTCCTTCCAACGAATATCGTTTATTGATATATTCCTTTGTGATTCTACTTCTGATTCTCTTCACTTTTTCTAGAATTTTCATTGAGTTAGAACTTTCATTGAGGTGTTCACTCCTCCATAGTTCTACGCCGACTGTTTTATTCTGGCACATTCTTCGAAACATCATGCACACTAGACGGGACTCGTGTAAACAAAGGAGTCTCATTCATCCAATGATACTCACACTCACAAATAATGCAATACATTATATATTATAGCAATTTATTGTAACGAATAAATTATACATTATATATTATAGCAATTGGTTAATTGCTGTATTTCATTATAAGGATTTCAAAGTTATTGATTAACGGGTACGTGAATTTACGTATTACTATCACGGAATAAATTTTATATCAACTTGCACAATTACCCAATTCTATAGTATTTTCATATTGTGATTAGAAACGAGTGCTTACTCGTCGAAATTGATCATATCTCATTTATGGGTAAGGTCGAGAGTATTAACAGACAATAAGTGAAGTATACCTGAAAATATACAAATCAGCTTTTTAGTATAAAAATAAATTGGAAATGTGGGATACAATTATCCCTCGTCTATATATCCTTAAGATGGAGTCTGAAGGAACTGTGAATCTAAAGGCGACGAATCTGAGAACTTTTTGAGAGATAGTGCTGAAATTTCGAGAGTATTTCGTGATCTTAAAACATCCAGATTTCCAAAATTTGCCGATTATTTTAAAACAAATTTCATTTAATACGTGCACTCTGAATAAAATCTTCACTTTCTATCCAGATAAAAATTTATTAAATGCAAGGACCTGGAATTGTAAAAGCTTTTCTCACACTTGTGGTATGTAGGAAGTAATTTGTTGCAATGCATGAATCACTTGCTAGGAATTAATCACAGATCGTAGCTAGGCTATAATTTATTTGAACACCAAGAAACATGTTTCTATTACGCACATACTTGGTGATAGACAAGGTAGTTTGGATACGGGTATGTCGTACATACGCGAAGAAATAAACTACTCTCGTACCTAAACGACAGTATTCAAATAACAGCAATAAATAAAAAGCTGAAATTGAAATTATAAAAATTATTCGATTAAATTAATATTACATATGTAAATATCACAACTATTGAAGAACTGCAAATATTATCAATTTCTTAAAGTAAAGAAGTTAAATAAGATTGAAATCTTAAATATTCCAAATATTTTAACAATTTTTGCAGAACTGACATAACTAGTTACTAGTCTCTAAAAATCATTCCATACAAAGAAATACGCATTACACTTTTCCAAAACGTACATTAGTCGCAACTGAGTTACACTTTACAAACAAATCAATATATCTTCCAACTACAAAATATAATTATACCAAAAACTACAATATATATATATATATATACATCTAATACCCATGGAAAAACTCTTCCACACAACCCAAGAGAAATCTCAACAAGAGCAAATTCCACTATCCACTTTTCCTCGTCGTTTTCTCCACTCCCTGCCAGTTTCAAATTGTCAGAAACAATTTTCTCGATGGCAAGTCGATTAAGGCTCATGCTATACTAAAGAAAAAAAACCTCACGTTTCCTTCCGATCACGGAACAATCGCCAGTGGCACCCAGTGCCTTCGACATTACATTCACCTCTGGTTCGTCCAAAAAAACGTTTCGATTAGTGAAATCGACCTTGGCACCCAGTACAATCGCTTGTAATTAGCATGATGCAAAACCGACCAAAAATTACACGATAGCTACTCGTGCAACACTAAATGTTTTTCCTCGTGTCAATATATCCGGAAAATTTCCCTGGTTGCTGGATTTCCTGTAACCTGGAAAAATTGGTTAAGCGATAAAAATCGAACTGAGGAAGATTACATGAAAATTGTTTATTTCTGCGAAACATTAACGAATATATTTCATATATGAATACACGAATATACGTAAAATCGAGAACAGTGGATGAAAGAGGGGATCGACGATGGCTGTATAAAATTGATGGGTGACGGGTTAATGAAGCATAGTTTCTGTAAACCTGTCTCAGAAGAATAAGCATGCTCGAGGTGGAAAACAGCTTTTGTCTCTGTTCATACGGATGCAAGAGTCATGGTGAAATGGTTTACGATGTAAGGATCGAGAGTTTTGTATGCAGATTAGTGCTCTATTTTCCTTCTACTAATGAAGTGTTAGAGGGAAGGGTGATATACTTCAAGTGAAGCTGATTTCGTTATAGTTTAAACGTATGATAGTTGTACATTATGATGTTCAAGTGTATGTTTTTGAGGTATTCGTTTCTTCATGGTCCACGGTGCTTGTGGAGTGTTTATTTTGTAATTGTGGTTGATATAGTATTGAAATATTAGTTGGAAAGATTCTAGATGGAAAGAGGAATAGAGTACGTCAATAGTTTTTAATCACTCAAATGGTGATTTTAAGATGATTGTTCTTCAACAAAGGAGTAAAGAAATTGACAAAGGAATTAGTGAAGAAATTATGTAAGACGGTTTTTAATTTTTCTTTTTTTTGATCCTTGGTAATCGGTTGTTATGATCATTTATGAGAGTAATTGATGAGAGAAGTTTGTATCATAATAATACTTTGGAAATAAAAGTAATATAAGTAAATATAATAATATAAATAATTATGGAAATAATAATTGCCGACGTTTGTGCTTCGATATGGGAATTTGAGACTGATGGAAAATGTAAAAAGTATACCTTAATTGCACAAGTGAAGTAAAATAAACGTTGATAAAAATAAAGAATAATTGATGTTGAGATATAGTATTTTATCATTATTTTAATCAGTACTTAACAAATGATTATTAAGATTGCCCTGCAATTATTATCCTGTGTTATTTTAATTTTAAATTTGTGCAAGCTCTACAACTTTTATCTACGTATTCGTCGATATAAGTGTGATATAATGAGTATGATATAAATATTTTGGCAAATTACGCAGTTATAATTGAAGAATGTTTTCAATGATAAATTTGATATCATACTTTAAACTTTATTTATAATACCAATGTTAGAGTTCGCTTATTAATCTGTTTTTCTTTAAAAATACACTTCATGAATGAAATATTTAATCTTCATTTACGTCTTAAATTTAAAGCATTATTTAAAATTGCATTATATTTAGTAATTGTCTACCCAAAACCAAAGAAAATAATTCCAGACATACGAGAAACTATAGAACAAAATTTGTACTATATAACACTAACAAACTAGCAACAAACTAATGATATAAAAATATTTCATTATCGTTACTTGACTATTCCCAAAAGCCTAAACTGGTACATGGAGGAAATTACATCAAAGAGGGCATGGACTCGGCGAAAAGTACCTCCATAATCTTTTCACCTAAGGAAGAGGATTCTATCGGAGCATTGAGCAGATACCTTAAACTATTCGCTGTAAGTACAATAATTTTCATTCAAGAACGGCAATTAATCTGCATAAAAATTCTTCCTAGAAGAAGAAATAACTCTAATTCAAACAAAAATTCTAGATTACGTAGTCCTTTACATTAAAAATTTTCAAATACATAAATTTCATGAAATTATACTTTACAATATCTTACATTGGTCCAAAAACTAAAAGCTAACGGTTATTTATTTCTTTTCCATAAATGTAATAAGATTAAAAAAATAAAAATAGATAACAAAACTAGTAGCAAAAATATGAAATAGAAATAAAAATTTTCGAGTCACACTGCACTGCGTAGAAAATTGTCGGATACAACAGTTTGTTGATTGTGCAAGTGAAATACTACAAGAAAGGAACCGAGGAAATAAAGCTGCACATACTAGCCTAAAGATCGTTTGGTTTCTTTCGCAATGATATCAACTACTCGATTTCACTTTCAGGAACACGAGGTTAATCTACTGCATATAGAATCTAGAAGCTCCCTTCGCCAATCGAATGTTTACGAGTTTATGGTGGAATGTGCACCTGGTGGGGACCTTGGAACGGTGATCGACAATTTGAAGGAACAATGCAGCTACTTCTCCATCATTTCCAGGTGTATTTTTAATCCGTTCCTCTAATTATACGTCGCACTAATTAGAACTACTTCCGTTTTCTTTGTTTAGGCACTCGTGCCATTCTTCTTACTCGTTCATTTAATGCATTATACTTGTCAATCTTGGGATGAAGGCCATGCTGATAGAAACTGGAATTTTCAGAATTGTTAATTGAGCTATTAGCATAAATTTGATTTCGAAATGGATTTTTAAAGAGTAGAGGTCACACCATACTACTTTCATCATTCCAATTGAGGTTTTCTAAAATTTTGTACATCGTTTCTACCTACAGAAATTACAAAGACAATATGGGAACTGTACCATGGTTTCCAAGAAGAATTAGAGATTTGGACAAATTTGCGAATCAGATTCTTTCCTATGGAACAGAATTGGACAGCGATCATCCTGGATTCACGGATCCTGTTTACCGAAGTAGGCGCAAATATTTCGCTGACTTGGCTTACAATTACAAACAGTAAGTTCTGTTTTATAATAATCGAAAATCTCAAACGATATCGAAATACTATGTAATTCTCCTAATAATAACGTTATTTCTAACAACACTATTTTCATCTTCGAGAGGAAATTTCATCACTACAGTATTGTCTCGTTATAAGTAGTTCACTCGTGTAGTATGATGGGGTTAATAATATTCAACAAGAACTTCTATTCTTAATTATATTTTAAATTTCTTAATGGTATAAATGGGGGCTCGAGGTCTTCTGCGGCAATGTGTCGCCCTTCGAACCCGTCAGTAAGGTTCTCATAGGCTCTATGTCACCAATCCATTGCATGATTCAGCCTAGCTTCGAGGAACAATTCAGCTTATCAATTTTTCTCGCAGCAAAAATAGATTCCGATGCAGGGTGACGCCATCAAAAATAAAGATTCCTCTCAACTTGGAATAATATCTCCTTCCGTTCTTTGGCACGACGAGTGTGACAGACTGCGAGTGAGCAAGAGAGAACATGACAAAAGTCTTGCTTGAAATCTCGGCGACATCGTTTGTCGTATATTGCATCATATTTCGGGAAAAGAAAACAGAGTCCAATGGTTTCTTTCAATTTGAAGCAGCCGATATCTCGAGAGAGATTATTGTCTCCCTCATTCGCTGCCTGTCACTCTTCGCAGAAATTACAAAGCAGAGAGTAGAAGAGATAGGAAGACTACTTATAACGAGTCAAGGAAAATGATTTATAAGAGAAAAAGAATGTAATATTGTGTATCAGTGGTCAACCTATACCGAGGGTGGAATACACCAAAGAAGAAATCGAGACTTGGGGTACAGTCTTTAGAAACTTAACAAAACTTTATCCAACGCACGCGTGCAAGGAACACAATCATGTGTTTCCCTTGCTCATCGAAAACTGTGGTTATAGAGAGGACAATATTCCACAATTGGAAGACATATCAAACTTCCTGAAAGGTATTCCTCATTTTGTTGTTATATAACATAACACAATATTCTAGTCTCAAGTTTTAAAATACTTAATTTTTGAATTTCTCTATTTATATGCATTGACAAAAGTATTCGATTTAGTTGTGTATACCTGATGAAATAGTAATAATAGTAGATGAAATATAAATGAACAGTTATTTACACGGTAATGTAAAAAATAAATATAAATGACGTACATGAAATCTAAATATTAATTAAATTAATTTTTAATTAAATTTATTAAATATCGTAATACGTAATGAACAAAAGTATACAATATTAAAGTATATATGAAACAGCTTCGATAATCGGAATGAACTCGAGCAAAGATAATTTCTGTAAGTAAAAAATGATTATCGTAGTTCTTTTTTTTGTTATCTCAAATCTAAGTTAGTTTTGAATTGAATTTATAGAAAACAGAAATAATAAAACATACTATATTTATATAAAGTGTTTGAATGTTCTTTGAAATTAATTTCTGTAAAATCAATAATTAATTTTGTATGATAGAGTGTAAAATAATTTTAATCAGATATTATATAATATCTTCTGTAAAATTTGGAAAATTTTGTAATCGATATTGCACAAACTGACTCTATATTTCTTCGTCACAAAAGTAGAAGATAACTATTTCTATTCTATCAAAATGATCATCATGAAAACATCATAGATAACTAAAGAAATAACTCTAAAAGAATATTGTTAAGTATTTAATATACAAATAATTACATTGAAATTTATTATTTTCAAATACTTTTAAACATCTTTGTATTTTCCTTCTCAAATTATTTAAAATTTGTTATCCGCTATTTTTGTTACTATAAAGTTAGTTAATAATATTATTAATATCTTGAAATAATAATCATGTAATATTTATGAATTTGTACATAGATTGTACTGGCTTTACCCTTCGACCAGTGGCTGGTCTCCTCTCCTCGCGTGACTTCCTAGCCGGCCTAGCTTTCAGAGTATTTCATTGCACGCAATATATTAGGCACGGCAGTAAACCATTATATACGCCTGAACCCGACATTTGTCACGAAGTATTGGGTCATGTACCTCTATTTGCCGATCCATCGTTTGCTCAATTTTGTCAAGTTGTTGGCTTGGCATCCCTCGGTGCTCCTGATGAGTACATCGAAAAATTAGCTACGGTATTTTATTATTATCTAGTTGAATTTACAATAAATTTTTATCCTTAGTTTCTCTAAATTGTACTTCATTATTATGATACTTTCGTAATGTACATAACGCTATCATAAAGTATGTAATTAAATATTACAAGTATTATAACAATTTGTGCTTTATATCATAAACAAAGAAAAAATATTTGAAATTTGTTTCAGTGCTTTTGGTTCACGGTCGAATACGGTATGTGCCGACAGAATGGCCAGTTGAAAGCATATGGTGCTGGATTACTTTCATCTTACGGTGAACTCGAGTATTGTTTGAGTGGTAAACCAGAACTGCGGCCTTTCGAACCGATGAAAACAGCACTGCAGAAATATCCAATAACCGAGTATCAGCCCATATATTTCGTTGCCGAGAATTTCGAAGAGGCTAAGCAGAAGATGATGTGAGTAGATTGGTCTGACTTTTGAACGTATCGATCATCTAATTGCAAATGTCTAGTATTCTGAGAAAGTTACGTGACATGATAAAACACTCGAAACTATCATTACAATTAATTAATTAATTGATCATGTAATCAAAGCTAATAATTACAATTACAATTACGTTAGGGGAACGTAGTTTTTATCTGTTGTATTTGAAAGATTGGCTAGATGTTGAGAAGCTTTCAAAAATTCGGAAGGAAATAAAAATACGAGTACTTCTTTTGTCAATTTTTCCCAGTAACAATTAAACTAGTAAAATAATTTCAAAAATATTTGGAAATACGTAAAATTCATAAACTCTTTGTTGTAAGTTATAGAAATTTGTTACTGACAAACTTTGCTTCGTTTTAAAATATTGTTTCCATTACTATTATCGCATAAAAGAATATTATTACATGTTATGATTATACTAAAATATAAAAGTTGTTGTCGTTCATTCATTATATGCCAGAAGGGGGAAAAGTTTTATGTAATGTAAAATTTTCCAAGTGCAAAGTTTATAATAATAATGAATCTATATAATTAGCAATTCGTAACTTTTTAATCGGTTATTTGATTGGATGTTAAGCATTTAATGAAATTTCAGTGATAAAATTCAATGAAAGGTTAAAAGATTATTGCGTGCCATATTAATATAAGAAAAAAGAATGCGTGTTTGAATAATCGATCACGTTTTATACATATTGTAACGTTCAATCCCACTTCTGAAATTTGTAAAGTGGCTCTACTAATAATATTCTAACCTAAGGAAATGGGCGCTAATACTATATCGTAAGAACTGTCTAAACTCTGTCTAACAACTAAGGACTGGCTAACGACTGACTCCAAGCAACTGTCCTAAAGGAACACTCTAAAGGAACTCTCTCGAAGGAACTGTTCATTCACGCCCATGTACCCTTATTTAAACCCATACACTCTATCCTCTTCCATATCCATGCTCTCTTTCGCAATCACGCTTTCCCACGCATTCTTCGTAGCCTTGCACTCAGTGGGTTACGGAGCCCAAACACTTAGATGCATACCTAGACTTCCATAAACATCCCGTCCATTCGATCCTTGCGCATGCACTCCAGATAATATTCCGAACGCTCGAGCCAAACCCAAGACGGCTGTTTATTGTCTTCTCTTTTCAGGCTGGCATTCCTATATATATTCTTACAATATGTATATCTGACATAACGATTACTCGTATTTTAATACCGAGAAAAAATTGTAATACCTTTCTTAAAATATATATATCCCGAGTTACATCATCATTGTTATTGAATGATTCGTGCACTTCTAGATTATACATTTAAACATGTATCAATATGATACGTATAACCATATAATTCAACGCATCATGTAACTTTCATCTAATAGTCGTTAAGATTCCACGAAAAGATAATTTCTTGCGTGTTAGGTTATGCAATCGATTAAATTGAAATCTTGAAACACAAAATATAATCTAAAACATAAAAATGCAGTAAATATAGAACGAGACGCAATATGTAAACTTTCGTGTTACATAAAATTGTAATTATGAATATGTGCTGCACATTTACCAAATCGATTGACTCCACAGAATAAAAAGCAGATGTTTCTTGATTATTTGTTCAATCGAAAGAGTACTGCAGACAGATCTGGAAATATTCCATTTCAAATTAAAATTCTTTTTGTTACCATAAAAGAACAGCATAAAACAATCCTATAAATGAAACATTTTTATGTAAGATAAAGATTTTGTGATATAAAAAATTATAAATTATAGAAACAAACATACTTTGTTGAAGCTATAATGCATTTCAATTATAATATTTCAATGATAGGATGTAATTTAAAACAAGGGTATATAATAAATATCTATAAATATTTGATTTATGAAAAAATAAAAACTTTTCTACTCTTTATGTAAATTTTGACTAAACTACTAAACTTTTGGTTTTTCCTTGAAAAAGATTTAATTTAAAGTAGAAGTCGATATTTTTATGAACTGAAGTAAAAAGGGAATGAATGAGACTTAAAAAATAAAATTTCGTTTTATAACTTCTTTATGCAAAATTATTGATTTAATGATCACTTAATTTGCAATTTTGCTTTCAGAAAATTCACCGAGAGTATGCCTAGGAAGTTCGGAGTAAGATATGACGCATATACTCAAAGCATTAACATAATCGACAGCAAACACCAAATCGAAGATCTCGTATACAACGTGAATCAAGAAGTACAAATTTTGATGGACGCTTTAAGAAAATTGAAGTAATAGCATTGTATGTACTTATAATATAAAATATTTTGAAATGTTATTTTATAATAGTACAGTACTTAACAACGCTTAAAACAATTTACGAGACAAAATCAAATGAAACAAGAAAAAAAGGAAATATTTCCAAGTTCCGAAAAAATTAATTTTCATCTGCAAATCTAGTTTCTCCGTAATGAAAGCAACTTTCATCTCATGTTTAAAATTAATACTTCAAAGATAATTCACACAATTTCACAATTTGTTATTTTATTTTGCGATTTTAATATTTAAAGGAATTATTACTAAGTTCTGATTAAGTAATAAAGTGAAATAAGAATAAAGCGGAACGAAAGATATAAAAATGTAGGAAATTTGATACAATAAAAATATTTTTACGAATGAATGTTGCACTATAATATAATACCACAGAAATTATTAATATGTGAGTAAGATGAAATATATATATAACAACTTGAATTCAATTATCTAAAGATTCTTGCAAATACTTGCATCATTTTCATTTCGTCTAAAATCATGAATAACACGTATGCCAAGTCGAACGGAAAAACGAAATCATAAAAAGAAATGAAACGATGAAGACTAACGATATAACCACAATAATTTCGATGTTTTTAGGAACCTTTATTTGCACGTTGGATATGTATATATTTCTCAAATTTTTATACCATCATATACAATCATACGTGGGAAAAGTTATTGTCTTAATACGTAATAGCCGGTCAGATACACGTCCACCGCGATCGGAATGTATATGAATCCTGTTTTGCAATATATATATATATTGTATAACCTATCTAACAACGATCATAAAATATATCGATTTCGATGCCACACTCACGAGTATAATACACATCGGTTGTCTATAGCACGTATAAATAGCCTATTCGTGATACATTTACAACAAAATATATTACTTTTTCTCCATTCGATAACTATACATATACATACGTATGTAAATATACCCTGTTTTCGAAAAATGCGTCTCTCCTTATTCTTCATTAATGGTCCAGCAAATAACAAAAATAACTCTCAGACTTTATCGACTGAAGCAGATATCTGGAACACAAAGCGTTCAATCAGAGTTCCAAGTAATTCCAAAAATGTTTTGTACTCTTTTAAATCAATTAAACAGCTAACTATCTTCTCTTGTTGCATCCACTTCGAACAGTCATCTTGCGCACGCGCTGTTATTCAAGCTATACAGAATTTTTACACATATACATATACGTTACGGGAAACACAAAATGACCCTCTGTAAGGGATAAATATTGTTTCGAAGAGTCAACTGTACGAGAAAAACAAAAGTATTGATTATAAATAAATAACGGAGACAGTTCGCAGCGATTTGATAATTGATATATCTTTGATATAAATTGAACGAACATGTAAAAAATATACTACAAGATCATTTTCATATTTAATCAGAAAAATTATGAAAAATAGATAGGGTTTAGCTTCTTTACTGTTCGAAATATGAAGGATGCTTTTAAAAAATAAACTGAATTAAAAATTTTGTTTGTTTTTGATGCCAAGTAATAGTTGATGTAAAAGTATTTTAGGCCAAGTAAAAAAAATTTTAAAGGTATCTCATATATATCTAAAAGAAAACAGAAAATACAGTTTAAATATTTTTTACACAGCAAAATTTCAATAAATATTAATTTCCAGCATTATTACAATTAATTGTAAGTAAAAAGGTTGAATGGCTTGACCTTTTCATGTACCTTACTTTTATAAATATAATGGTACAAGTGCAATATATATTTATACTTTACAATGGAGTTTTGTATATGCCTTTTATATGCTACATTTAATTTTTTCATAACTATTATAAATAAAATCGTTAAGTTTATAAAGATTCAACTAACATATAATACAATTGTTTTTTCTATTATCTATTTTGTTGGTTTTAAAAACTAGTAAATGTTTAGCATGAATTTTTTAATTTCTATGAAGGTAAGTAAATGTTATTTATTATTATAGTATAAAATTATTATTAAAAAAATAATTCTTATACAGCCATCCAACTTTGTTCCTTTACAAATATTTTTCCATTTGTATCTTGGAATGAATTTATAAAATGCTCGATAGTCATTTTGATGAAATTTGGAAGAAAGTAATTCTTATTTATTTATAATTAAATTCTAATTAAGATATATAACAGTAATTACAAATAATTCAACATAGTTTTTAGATCATTTAAACAAACGGAAACCTTTTCTCTTCTTATAATTTACAAAGGTTTCTTTTAGTTTTCTATCATTTATATTTAAATTATTATAAGTAAAACCTATCCAAAGGGAATTGTATATTTTGTGTTAGGAAATTTTACAAAGTTTCACCAAAATCGACATCAAACACTATACAAATAATGCGACCATTATTTTTAACCACTCCTTATATCAATTATCAAATCAAGCTATTTAAATACAAAAGGGAATATTTACATTTTACAACCACAAATAAACAAATACTTGCATAATCCGTCCAATTTATCCTCCGATTCTGTTCCCAGACGGAATATTTTTTGTACAACTCACGTATAAAAATATGAAATCCTTCGTGTCTCGTTTCTATACAAGATATGAACAGAACTACAAAATCACGTCGTAATTCTGACGATTGACGTCAAAAATTACGACGATTAATGTGAGGTTTCTCAATATTTGTTCCTTCAATTGAATTTTTCTTCAACTCCAAACACCAACCTCTATAAGCAAAAAATCTCAATGATAATCAGAATCAAAGGAATTAATAACTTTCAATTCTGTGACGATCTCGGTTGTTGATTCGAAGTTGGCTCCATGTCGTTGTACAATATATCCGCTTGATGTGGACACATTTGAAAAGGCACAAGATCTGGCGGGTTGCCATTCTGTTGCGTTGGTCCTTGTTGCGGTTGTTGCTGTTGGTGTTGCAACTGCTGGTGTGATTGCTGTTGCGCTTGAATCATCGTACCTACGTTCCCTTGCACTGTGGCCGACATCGTTGGTATTGGACTAACTGTCAATGGATGAGGGAACAACTCTGTAGGCACTATAGGCACTGGAACTGTGAGGGGCAGAGGAAGAACATTCACTCCTTGCACGCTACTTGACGTTGGTAATTGTACATTTGAGTTGTTTGTATTGCATCTATTCATCTGCTGACATGTATTTGTAGCATTGTACGGCATGCCCGTCTGAAAGAATGTTTGTAGTTTGTTTCATAAATTACGAATTGTAGTTTAGATTTTGGTATTAGTACCTACGAGATAATGCTTTTATTTTTGGAACTATAAAATTTATTTATTAAAGCTTTTCCAGTACTTAGTTATCTTTTTTATATCATTTCATTAGAAATATTAATGTCCATAGTTGTGGTAATATATACATGTACATTTATTCATTTGATTGAAAGTAATTCAAACAATAAGAAATTAAGAAAATCACCTTTAATGAATTTTTTTCCTAAAAGTTGTTTGATGCTAATGAGGAATTAACATGTTAGATACTTACATTGAGCAACGGTGATAAAATTCCATATCTAGCGATAAACAGCTGTTCCGATACTCTTCTGAGTTCTTCTTGCTGATGCACAATTAATTGTTGCAGTTCTTCGTGCTTACGTTGTAGCTCGTCTTGAATTTGATTCTGTGCTGGTGTCATCACGATACCTTGCTGATGTAACATCTAAAAATATGTATAGATATTCGTTATTTAAGTGTTGAGCATAGTAAGCACTTATGATGGAAAATTCTTATATATAATGGTATTAGGATCAAATCGATAAATGTAAAATAATAAAGATAAAAACATACGATCATATTTTCGTTTCAAAGAAATTAGAAATAAGTTGGAATAGAAATAAAATTAATTGCATTTTTAGTACGTCATTAGAAAAGAGAATGAAAGAACAACCAAATTATTAAAATATAATATTCCAAATACTGTTCTATAATAATGCAATGAAGACGTTAACAAAAAACATAATTATAATGGTTATAATACAATTTGGAGAAGTAGCTTATATAGTTATATTACAAATTTATCTTCTGATTTGTTTAAAATCATAATTTTCTTTTAAAAATGAAGTCATATTAAATGTAACGAATTTAGTTTATATTCAATTTGATATTCACATTTTTGTAATATTTAGAAACAAATATTAGTTATTTTATTACCTCGTGTGTCGGTATTGCGGAGATAATCGACGCAGCAGGAGTTGCAAAATCTGTGCTGACCACAGGTTGTAAATTAACTGTCGTATACTGTGCCTGCTCCATGAAATTGATACAACTCTGATCAACCTCTAATAACGATTGTTGTTGTGGCTGTTGCTGCTGTTGTTGTTGTTGCCTAGTATCGATTTGAGGTATTTGAGTTTTTGATGTTACAGAACTATTTGCAGAAGTCCCTTTTGATCGTGAAACGTGTGTTATCTGGGAATGGGGAGAGCTTTGCATGGAGGCTGACATCGAGGAACTATCAGAGCTTTCCACGTGATGTCGTGGTCGAGTGTTTGATGGTATAGATTTCGATGTTTTAGATGATTTAGTTGGCCACTGTGTCGGAGGAACAGGACAAGACGTCGTTATCTGTAAACATAATTTTGAAAATGCCTACTTAATGTATATAACGTATGCAGTTAATTTTCTTAAATAAGTTGTTTTACTTGTTGCTGTTTTAACGGCATCAGAACATCTTGATTTTGATCCTTGTTAAAACTTTCCGATTCCTTACGTAATTCTTTAATCACATCAATGTAACTGACAACATAATGTGTGCACACAATAAATTCAGGTTTCGAATTCCACTGATTGTATGTGATATAAAATCTAGTTTGTAACCATATCCATTGTTGTCCTTTAGTAAGGAATCTATAGTAACAGGAGGTGCCTTCACCTTTTTGCATCACTATAAACAAATTTTTCATAATCTCAAATTTATAGTAGTTTTTTGCTAGCGCATAATACATACATGATTCGTGACATGTGACCACTTTATCCAGATCATCCACGTGATAATAGTCATAACCAGAGGTGCCCAAAACTTCAAATGGTAAATATCCAATAATAGGTGGTGCTCGATGATCCAAAAATAAAAACTTCCATTCAAGACTATGTCGTGACGTAAATTCTGATTTAGTGTTGTCCATCACGGATAATTCACGGATCAATTGAGGTGTCTGGAGGCGTCCTGTACCCACGAAAACTAATCTAAGAGGACACAAACAAATTTATTATCAACCAACTATTACAATGAAGAATACCAAATATTATTTCTAAGAACATTATACTGGATTATATTTTTATGTTGATTTTATATTTGAATATTTTAAACATTCTTATAAGTCAGTAATTTCCAAGCTTATAGAATTAATTTCTTGAGCAGAATAATGCAAAAGTGTTATATTTGCGAAATATAAGGTATGGCTAGTTAATCAATTTGTGTTTCTATTGTAAAAAATCTGAGAATAAGAATAAACAGATCACATCTATATGAATGTTATCCGTTGCATTTTTTTATAAATATACTCGCTATAAATAATAACCAGCAATAATAAAATATCTAAAAAGAAAAGGAAATTACTTCGTATCCATTCCAGTAGGGTTCCCGAATTTTGTATTCGGAAGCAAGTTATCTACCTCTGTATCGATATCAGAACCTATAAATGAAATATAAATTCTCATAACTATATCTATATATTATTGATACAACAAAGAATACTGCACAAATTAGTTACATACGAAAATATCCAACAAATTGCACAAGCTCATATATTGGATTTTCTTGAACATTTAAACCTCCCCTTTTGATATGGCATGAAAAAGATATTTTGTCCTCTAAAAACATAAATACAGTTTATAATTATTTCTTAATATTTAGTACAGAATTTAATAAAATTGTAGAATAGGATTCTTTTTAAATGTACCTTTCTTAATATTTCTTCGATCCTTTGTACTAGACGGATTCAGTAGTACGTTGTAAAGGGGAGACTGGTCCTCCTGATAAGTGATATCGTAGATGGTCGTGTTCTCCAGCTCATTTGGAAGATAGCCGAGCAAAGACGTGACACTTTCAGACACATAATAAATGCGCCCGCTTGAAGAAAATACCATTATAAAACCGTCCAGAGCCTACATTCAAGAAACGTCGTTTGTGTTTTTATCAGTAAAAACTTCAATCAACGAGACATTGAAATTCATGCCAAATCGATCATGATAATTTTAGAAATTTATTCATAAGCTTGAATTCATTCTGTAAGTTGGAGTTTATTTATATAGAAACTATCACTGTATTTGTAATCTCTTTGACAACAAATTAATTATAATCATAATAGAAATCACTTAAATAAATCCCAAATAAATTCTATATATATATTATTGTTTGTACAATATAATTAATTATACAGGCTAACGGATATTAGAAATTAATTAGTAAAAGTTAATAGGAATTCATCTAAAACGTTTAGCTAACAGTGATGTTTCAAACTCATGCTTAAACAAATAACAAAAATCTATGTTATACAATAATCATACCTCTAGTATTAGATGCGTAAATTCTTCGTTCGAAAGAAACGATGGTTTCCAATCTTCTTGAATTTCGTGTACTCTCGATCTGACAGCTATTTCTACGGCATTTTAAAGTTCAAAATTAATAATAGTCAGATACAAGTTAACATGCACATTGTTATTCATAAACTATCCAACAAATTAAGAAATTAACATCCAAACGCAACAAACTAGTTATATTAAAAAAAAAATGATAAGCTACATTGTATATAAAATGATAAATATCTAGATTAGAGATTATAATTCTATGTATAGTTTTAATTTATTAGATTGAATATTCAAATATTCAAATATTCTTAATATAGAATTCGAGAAATAGCTAACTCTAAAGTATATAATTACTAAAAAACAATTGTAAAACGAAAAATTAAACTATCTGAATTATCAAATAATGTACCGTTGTGATTTTTCAAAAACAAAATCGTTGACTTCAACACTGTAGATTTGTCCATTTTCCTCGTGTTTGTGCTGACCATACTACCAAGTTCATTTACAAGCATATTGAACTGATCTCTTCGCTTTTTTTCGCTCAAATTTCGCGATTTCCTAAAAAAGAAAAAAGTTAAGAATTAGTTTGGTGCTTTAAAAGATGTTCAACGAAGAAACGTCCCTAATTGAATGCTTACCGCTTCGTATCATCCTTATCGTCAACGTCATCATCCATTGTGTCACTAGATAGAAAAATTGTAAGTTTATTATGAAAAAAAAAGTTAATAAGTATTTTATAAATTTATAAAGTATCATTGTTAAATCAATGAGATTTAAATGAATTTCTACAACATAAATTTATTTTTTGAAAAAAATACTTGTATTTAAATAATTATGAAGATTCACATTTTATCTGCACATTATCAAAGACTAAAAGATTATTAAGATGTATAAAATTTTTTAATTAAAAAATGTACATAACTATAATTTTATATCACATAAAAGGAGAAGAATATTTTGGTGCATTTATAAAATGTATATCTATATTTTTATTAATTATAAATACATTGATATTAAATTGAATGAAGACACAAGTATCTTAGATAAATTATAATTCTTCAAGCATAACACATATACAGTATTAACAATCTCTAAAAAAAAATACTAATCAAATATTTGTGAAAAGAAATAATATTTTTATTTTGTTAGTCTCGTGTAAAATGTATTTTCGTTTGTATATTTAGATATGCAAAATTATATTGTCAGTATCAGACATATCTGTTAAAAGGGAAGAAGCTAATTTGCAACGGATCTGCTCATGATTTTCTCACTTGCCATAGAGAAACACGTACGTTACAATCAAATCAATATCACGGATTGTGTAATAGGTTTGGCAATCAATATTGGTTAGGATAACGTTATTCTGCGGAATTACCAAAGGATATCTCGTGTATCATGAAGTAATTAAAAATTGACAAGTTTAATATAAATAAAAATGGTGTAAAATATTTTTGACATGATTTATTTAGGAAAATGCCGAAATATAAAAAAGTAAAAGATATTACAAAAATGTTTTAAAAATGAACTATCTAAAATTCAAGATATAATTCTGTATAAAATATCCGGAAAGGTGCAAAATAACCAACGTTTAAAAAACTCGTTTCGCGAGTGCATCAATCATAACATCACGTTACGCGCCACTTTATAATGAGACGTTTGCCGGCTATCGTCTCGACCAGCGCAAAACTTCAACCTCAACCTTATCGATTGCATAAATCGCGGCGTATCAGTGATAATCAACTAGCAGGAGCATCGATCGAAAGCGGTCGCGTGCTGTTCGTGATGTTAATCGTGCCACGATGACAACGGGAAGAATAACTAATCGTAAACATCGATTTATAGCATCAATCGATGGATGGTTCAACAATAGATCGCGGTAATCATGGTCAGACATTCGATCTATTTGTAACAGCTAAATAAAATTGTCTACGTAAAGCCACAAACGAGAACAAAATCAAAGTGAGAACTGAATAATACACTGCTAAGTTATTCAAATAATCGACTGAACTATTCGAGAACCCGAACATCGAACATCGAACATCGAACATCGATTGAACATCGAGAATGGAAAGTCGAGAATAAGGCGTGCACGGAGAATCGTTCCAGAGGGAAGCGTTTTACCACACAAATATTTGCGTGTCACTCACTCGGATTGTCGGGAGGATCGTCCCCGTGAATAACTCGCCATGTAACTTCGTTTATGTATGTTGTCACGATCGTTGTATATGCGTGCTATCGCGTACACGCCGTCGATTAGCGGCCTCAGATCTTGCGATCCTCGTTTTCTCGAGGTTTTCCCTGATGACGAGTATTCGTCGACCACGTAGAATTCACTAGCTCGGGGTGCCACTTCCGCGGCCAGCATCGACACATTTTTTCCACCACTCAGCCTCAGACACAGGCTCTGATCAATTCGCGCGCCAGTAAATCTGTCGACTTCGTTTCTAACAATCGGTTAGATCAGCCTACGATGCATGCACGTACGTACGACGCTGACATACGACTTCACAATGGAAGGTCTCTCGATGCACCGTCTGAAGTTGCATGCGCTCAATTCCGTGCAGTGGTATTAGCGAGAACACGGCTGCGAATTCTAAGAGGGAGAACGCATGCGCAGATTTGAAAATAGAAATGCATAGAAACCACGTGTATTCATTAAATATCTTAATTTTATCCTCTAGTGTTTATTACATTTTCGAATTCTTTATTGTGATTGGTATTCTTATTGTACGTATTATATGCTTTTATATTTTGATAAACTTTTTATACAAGTTACCTTTCATTCAGTAGGTGTATTGGAGGTTAGATACTTTTCTTATGAATCTGGTATATAATGAAATTTCAATTAGAAGTCATGATATCTTTTTTTAGTATCTTTCTAAAATATTATTTACATTTTACAATGTATACCAAAATATTTGTGTTCCAGAATAAGTTGTAATATATCTTCATTTGTTTTCATTTATTGTATCTTATTTGTTGCTACATTAAATACGATGCACGAGATATCACTTGATATCTTTAAATTTGTAATCAATCGCTGAAATGTAATATAGATATTGATAAAATGATTATGAAAACAATACTTAATTTTAAATTTACAATTCATATTTTTCTAAAAGCGAAATTGTGTAAAATTGATATAAATTTTCATTTACGTTTTTATTAAATTTGAAATACTTCGTAATGTTAATTTTCAATTAAAGGAAGAAAGCATGTACGGATAATTTCCATATTGCTTTTTGCTATAATATTTAAAATATCAATACATATATCTTTAAATTATGTAATGTTTAGCTTTCATAATGTAATTATATACGTATCTTATTACATTGTCGTATTATACTGCAATTAAATTTAAAAAAGCAGAAAATGGACAAAAATAAACTGATGACACAAATCTTATTATTCATATCGATACTTTCATCTCACCTTCCTTTTGGCCGATATATCATTTCATAATAATTATATGAAATCTATCTGTTATCTTGGAAGCACGATCAATTTAGCTACTACCAAGTAAATAAGACTGCGAAGAATCTTCTATTGCAATTTTTGTACATCAGTTTTATAAAGGTTACTACAAACATACTTCATTCTACTACAATAATAAAATATTCAGTTTAATTATTACTTGATATAATCATCGTCCAAATTTTTCTGCGTTCTAAAATTCTTCTTGCAAGATTCAAACGGTATAATAAAGGTTATATTGTTCCATCTATTCGGTATTCGCTTTACAATAGCTCGTAGAATGAGTATCGAATGAAGCAGAAGCATTGATAGGTGAGCAACTTCAAGTAAATTATTTGCGAACGTGATCACGGATGCCATGTTATTCAACAGTGCGCAGTCGCATTATTAGTATGACGTCATCATGAATTCGCGCAGGCGTGGTCGTCACTGCGACGATTGCGCATTCCCGCGAGACACAAAGTCTCCTATTGGTCGATTATCTTGCAATATTTCAAACGTTGAACCAATCACAGCAGTGGTATATAGTGTGTAGATGCAGTTAAGATTGGACGAGAAATGTAATTGCCACGTTCTTTTTCTAATGATGCTGTGTAAATCATTTATTCTTCGCTAGAAATTTGAATTTTATAGAGTGTGAACGAGGTTTAGAGCGAAAGAAGTCTTTTTATGAAAATATTAGATGAAATGAGAGGATATTGACTGAGTGTTTCGTTTTTATACGTTTAATAATACGGTTACGATTGCTTCAATGATAATTGGTATGTAAGGGTATGTCCAGTTTGAGATTGATCTAGAAAGAAAGTTTCTGATATAATTTTACGGTAAGAGAAAGAAACAGGAAGTAAGTGTGCTGTGTTTGAATGAAGTGAAGAATGAAAGAAGAGAGAATTCAGGAAATGATCTAATAGTATCGAATGACTGCGGACATACGAGCGACTGGAAAGGATGTAAGAATTCCGATTGCTGATATTCTTGCATTGGTAAGTAGAATATTTTACACCGAGGATATTATATGTGTATTTATACCATATACATATTTATATTATATATTGGAAAATTTGAATACGTATGTATGTATTCATAATTATGAAAACATCGATAATACGATATTTCGAAGTATTTAGAATAGTCCGTTACAGATATACTTACACATGTTCATCGAGTATAGTCTGAATAGAATTGGCGGCCGTTTTTTAAATAAGTAAGACTACAATTCAATAAGCATTTTAGAATTATTTCAAAATTAGATAAATTCTTAGTATCTAGTAAATATTGGAAGAAATGTGGTAAAATGTAGTAATTCTTCGATTAGTCTCGTTCGATATGATTATTCGTTATATATTTTGAGTTGAAAATTTCTCAGTTTGCAAATATACTATATTGGTATACTAATGGGTAATTATAGCAGGAAATGGGAGAAAAAGCATCGAGTAAATTTTACATAATGTTTATTACTTATAGTGTACTCAAGTATATTGAGTCCCAACCGTTGGGCCTCCTTTTTTTTTCTCTTTTTCACTTTTCTCTCTTTTGACATATTTGATTAGCGAACATCATAATGTTAATTTTTTTTTCTCTAGTTCGTACAGTTTTCCTTTCTTCTTTTGAACTTTTGTCTCCCTCTATTAAAAATGATGCGTAAACTGCTCGCATCCGTTTTACCTCTTGGTAACGTCGAGACCTGACGTATTTATTGATTTCGGTAGAGTAGATGTGGACGTATCATTTTCTTCACCTTCCTATCGCTTTCCTTCCTTTATATCTTCTATACTTGACGATTACGCGTTAAAAGAGTAACAAAACGTACTAAACAAACAAACTTTCTCTTGTTTTATTTTTTATCCTTTTTTTTCTTAATATCATATTTAACAAAATAACGAATCCTCATACAAAAAGAACTAATTGAAATTAAGCTACTACCACGTAAATAAGACCGTAAACTCTTCTATTGCAATTTTTGTATATCAATTTTTTATAGTTTACTACAAACATATTTCATTCTACTACAATAATAAAATATTCAGTTGAATTATTACTTGTTACAATCATCGTCCAAATTTTTCTACGTTCTAAAATTCTTCTTGCAAGATTCAAACGGTATGCTAAAGGTTATATTGTTCCATCTCCTCGGTATTCGCTTTACGATAGCTCGTAGAGTGAGTATCGAATGAATCAGAAGCATTGATAGGTGAGGAACTTCAAGTAAATTATTTGCGAACGTGATCACGGATGCTATGTTATTCAACAGTGCGCAGTCGCATTATCAGTATGACGTCATCACGAATTCGCGCAGGCGTGGCCGTCACTGCGACGATTGCGCATTCCCGCGAGACACATAGTCTCCTATTGGTCGATTATCTTGCAATATTTCAAACGTTGAACCAATCACAGCAGTGGTATATAGAGTGTAGATGCAGTTAAGATTTGACGAGAAACGTAATTGCCGCGTTCTTTTTCTAATGATGCTGTGTAAATCATATATATATTCTTCGCTAGAAATTTGAATTTTATAAAGTGTGAACGAGGTTTAGAGTGAAAGAAGTCCTTTTATGAAAATATTATATGAAATGGGAGGATACTGAATGAGTGTTTCGTTTTTATACGCTTAATGATACAGTTACGATTGCTTCAATGATAATTGGTATGTAAGGGTATGTGCAGTTTGAGATTGATCTAGAAAGAAAGTTTCTGATATAATTATACGGTAAGATAGAGAAGCAGGAAGTAAGTGTGCTGTGTTTGAATGAAGTGAAGAATGAAAGAAGAGAGAATTCAGGAAATGTTCTAATAGTGTCGAATGACTCTTTATGGCGGACATATGAGCAACTGGAAAGAATGTAAGAATCTCGGTTGCTGATATTCCTGCATTGGTGAGTAGAATATTTTACACCGAGGATGTTATATGTGTATTTATACCATATACATATTTATATTATATATTCGAAAATTTGGATACATTTGTATGTATTTTAGAGTTATTATTTTTAGAAGTATTATTTCAAAATTAGATAAATTCTTAGTATCTAGTAAATATTGGAAGAAATGTGGTAAAATGTAGTAATTCTTCGATTAGTCTCGTTCGATAGTGGTATTCCTCATATATTTTGACTTGAAAATTTCTCAGTTTGAAAATATAGTATATTGATATACTAAAGGGCAATTATAGCAGGAAATGGAAGAAAAAGCATCGAGTAAATTTTACATAATGTTTATTATTTATAGTGTACTCAGGTATATTGAGTCCCAACCGGTGGGCCTCCTATTTTTTTCTTTTTTTCACTTTTCTCTCTTTTGACATATTTGATTAGCGAACATCACAATGTTAATTTTTTTTTTGTCTAGTTCGTACAGTTTTCCTTTCTTCTTTTGAACTTTTGTCTCCCTCTATTAAAAATGATGCGTAAACTGCTCGTATCCGTTTTACCTGTTGGTAACGTCGGGACCTGACGCATTTATCGATTTCGGTAGAGTAGATGTGGACGTGTCATTTTCTTCTTTACCTTCCTATCGCTTTCCTTCGTTCTTATCTTCTATACTTGACGATTACGCGTTAAAATAGTAACAAAATGTACTAAAGAAACAAACTTACTCTTGTTTTATTTTCTATGCTTTTTTTTCTTATCCTCATATTTAACAAAATAACGAATTATTAATTATAATAACGTAAATAATTATTCAACATTGCGGTTCTTGATTTTTCTTGGTCTCTCTCAGTCTCTCTCTCTCTCTGCCTTTCCTTTTCTCGTTCGATTGTGTCTCAATGGTCAATAATATAATATATTATATATATCTATATATAATTTGTATATTCGGGACATAAATGACTCAGTTAAAATACAACTTAGCATTAGTAATTTCGCGAATTACAAAAGTGATTGGTCAAATACGAAACAATTCGATTCGACAATTAGAAACAGCACGTTGTCTACTTTTAGTATTTTTTGTTTTCTCCCTCTTGCTCGCTCTTTCGCTCTCTCTTTCTCACTTTTTTTTAAAATTTATTTACTTTAGTTTCCTCGTTTCGCTTTCTTTTGTATTATTATTATTATCATTATTATTATTATT